ATTATCATAATTTTATTTTTTTAAAAAAAATAATAAATTGATATGATGATAATAATAATAATAATAATAATAATAATAATAATAATAATAATAATAATAATAATAATAATAATAATTGGTAATTTTTTTTGCAGGTGTGCTTAGGTGAGATGGAGAAGATTGAGGATGTAATATTTAACCCAATTTCAGCACCACAACTAAATCATAATCCCAATTTATCAACGGCCGACCAGTCCGAGTTGGATCAATTTATGGTAACAAGTACATATATACTCATGAGGAAATGTTACAGTCCCGTTACGAAACTCTTTCGTCGGGATTAATAACCGTTAGATCATCATGTAACCATCGTGGATAGTTGATCTAACGGTTACAAACCCGGCGAATAGTACCGTAAGTAGAATGAATATTAACTTATTTATGGTAAAAACCACATATTCATATCATTTTTTTTTTTTTTTTGTATGTTGATCATGTGTTATTTTAGACTCTTCAATTTGCTAATTATTTATTTATTTATTTATTTATTTTTATGAGCAGGTGGCTTATTGTGCATTGCTAAAAAAGGTAAAAGAAGTAATAGAAGAACCTCAGCAAGAATCCATGGCATTTATTAATTACATTTACTCTCAACTTGAGGATGATGACCTTCTACATTCAGATGCTCCATCTTCATCTCTGTGTAAGAATACTATCATTAATTTTCATTTATATATATATATTATATATTATTTGAATGTTATATTTTAAAATTATAATATATATATATATATTTATTTATTTTATATTTAAATGTTATATTTTAAAATTCAATATGTAAACAAAAGTATAAATTTTTTTTATAGACTGTACACATATCCACCTCGGAAATTGGTCCTTTTACTTTGTTTTTTTTTTATTTTGTTTTTATTTGTGTATTTAATTGGCGAGTTTTATTATTTAATACTCGATTGAAGTGAAAGAATTATTATTTTATTATTTTGCTAAAATATGTTTATGCAATTTAATGTTGATTCATCCTTCATGAAGCTTCTAGAAGACTTGAAAAAAATAAAAATAAAAACATGTTATATTTTTTTTTTTATAAAATATTTTTTTAGGTTGTATTATTTAATTTTGGTAACATTTATATGGACGGGCTTTATCCTAATAATTAGTTAAATTCTTTTGTAGGAGCTCAGAAGTGGTTTCGCATATGAATGCAAAGCAGGATATTGATGGAAGTTCATGAAGCATTTTATCGTGTCATTTTTCTAAATTAAATTAACGATTTCTGTTTTCCGGTTAATTAAGTTGTGTATCCAAGGAAAATATTACATGGTTTCCTACTTTTTTTTTTTATTTTTTTTTGGTAATTTTGGTAAGATATGTACTAATAGTGAGGATCAGTTCTATTTCAACAAGCCTAATTTGAAGTAGTGAAATCCTCAACTTCAATATTTATGATTTTAACCGGTTGTGCTAAAAAAAATAACCTACTCATTAGGGAAGACTAGAGCAAAGCTGACGTAGAGAAGCGTACGAATGAGAAGGATAAACGAGATACTCTTTCGATAAAATCGCAAGAGTTAATCAATTCTTATTATCAAATTCACCCCCTCGTAACAAAGCAGAAGAACCCTTTAAATAACGTCTTCAAAATAAACTAGTTTATTCTCCAAGCTACCTACTAATTATAAAATAATATTATTATTATTATTATTATAAAATAATAATCATATTATTATTATTATTATTATTATTATTATTATTATTATTATTATTATTAGTATTATTATTATTATTATCCTACACCATTCTCCCCTGGTTGAGCAGAATTCGCTCTCGAATCCGACTCGTTCCCGTTGGAGACGTCCTAATGACAGGAATAGCCCGACGTTTCTCCTGATCAAACACGAAGGTTGAAGGTCGCCAAATAACCCCAGTGCTGGCTCTTGGGGGAGGCAGACCAGGCTCTTGCCTAGGGCCTCAATTTATTTGGGGCCACATTTTTATTTTTTATTTTTTTTTTGGCTAATACTATGAATTTGTGTTGGGTTTGGTCAATTTAAATAAATGAAGGGGCACAATTAATGAATAATCTAATGACAAAATATTGAGTTAGCCCATTACACAAATGAAAATGCTAATTAATAAAGAGATAACTAAATATGGACTTGGCCCATTACATAAATGAAAAAACTAATAAATAAAAGGGCTAATGGTTAAATATCTAATTTGTCTGTGAATTTGAAGCCCTAAATATTTCATTTGGTTTCTTATAATGTTTGGTATGAACAATTTGTATGAGAATAATTATTTCCAGTGATATTATTTTATATTTTTATCCTTAATGTCCTTGTGACTGCTTGAATGCAATTTATTAAATATCTTTGTAAAACCCAGAGATAATTTATCATTTCCAAGATTTATTTCAGTATCGATGAAAAACAAGAAAATAGTATATTTTTCAATTATTTATTTATTTAGTCTGTCTTGTTGAATTAGCTTTTTTTTCTTCCATGATTACCACCCAAATTCAAATCGGAAACTTCGAAAAAAAAACTTAATCGGGAACTTCGAAAAAAAAAACTCGTCTGGGGCCTCCAAATTTCTGGAGACGACCCTGAATAACCCCGATGGTAAACATAATCTTGGGCAAGTACTGAACTGGTGCAAAGGCACATGCACGCGCAGCCGTACGCATAACCCACACGGCGGAAGTAATGCCAAACACACCACATCGTTCGCCGCGCTCAAATCTATAACAACGGCCAAACATCCCGTTGTTGGGAATCGAAAAATGACCTACCCGTTATTGAGTCTCGGCTTCGGCTCTGAAAAATCATCTTTGGCCAAGATACTCCAAAAATCAGGTCTAAACGACGGCTTTCCATTCGAAGGCTTAACCTCTGCGACATTCCACGCGGGTCCCATATTGTCGCACAAAGATATCTTTGTCACTGAAGGCTCCTCATCAAAGATCGGCAGACCGCCGTACAATGGCCCGTCATTTTTCTCTTTGTTGAATTTGAGGATGTCCACGCGAAATGGGTCATATCATCAACCAACCTTGCGACCAAATTCCCTCTGCCCATGCCTAATATTTGCATCTCCTTCACATGCACAAAAACCGCATTTGGACTGCTCCTGTTGAGGCCCAAAATCGCCACCTAATTTGTTTCTTTCACATGCCCAAAATCCGCGTCCAAGGCCTGCAGGCCCAAAAAGTGGCCTAAAGTCCTCAGCCTTCAGTACCTGTATCGGACCTCTGGAATTCCGAAGCAACCACGTTGTTAAGTGTCACACGCAAATCATCGATACTCGTCGAAAGATCGACAAACCAATCCGTGAAACACACGTCCAATTATTAAAGGTTGCATCACATCGTTCGTTTGCGGATCGCAAATCGTACTGACTGCTGATACGAACTTATGTAGGAAAGCGTATGAATCAGAAGGATAAACGAGATACTCTTTCGATAAAACTCACAAGAGTCAATCAATTCTTATTATCAAATTCACCTCCTCATAACAAAGTGCGCAGAAGAACCCTTTAAATAAGGCCCTCAAACTAAAATCTAACTTATTCTCCATGCTAACTACTAATTAATAATAATAGTAATAATAATAATACTAATAATAATAATAATAATAATAATAATAATAATAATAATAATAATAATAATAATAATAATAATAATAATAATAATAACAACAACAATAACAGATGCAAAGTAGTTTTTCTTTTTCTTTTTTTTTTCTTTAATTTTAAGGAAGATATAATATAGTGTTCTCACTTTCCATATTCGGTGACTCGAACTCATGACCTATTAGTCATAGGTGAAACGTCTTATCACTAAGGTGAGTATTGTTGTCACGGATGCAGAGATAGTATGTATGTGAAACTTCAACACATATATTTTATAATAATTTTACACTACAAGAAAATGATGAAATTCTAACTGAAATATATTCAAATAAAATTCCATCGGTAATTCCAATGGATACTTTTCAATGCTATTATTTCTGTTAGAATTTTCCAATGGATTCCAACGGAAATTCTAACAAAATATTCCGTTGGAATGAGTTTTCCATTGAAAATTCCGTTGGATTTTGAAGATTTCAACAGTAGATTTTCTAACATGGTGGAAATAAAAATTTCAACGGAAATTCCTATGGTAAAAAGCCGTTGGAAATATAGCTGTTGGAATCATCAAATGTCATCTAAAATTTCAATGAAAAACACATTCTAACGGAATATTTTCGTAGGAATTTTTGTTGGAATTGTTCCAACGCAAACTATACCATTGGAATATCCGATGGAATTTCTATTGAATAATATTACCATATGATTTTCTATTAGAATACAACAATTTTTTTGTAGTCTTAAATATATACATACGTAGATATATATATATATATATATATATATATATATATATATATAAGAGAATTATTAACTTTAAATTAATAATAATAACCATATTAAAACTAAGGGTGTGTTTGGTAAACCTAGTTGATAAGCTAGCTGATAGTTTATAAGCTAGATGGTAGCTGATAAGCTATAAGCTAGCTTATAGCTTATAGCTGATAAGCTAGTTGATGTTTATAAAGATGTTTGGAAAAATAGCTTATAAGCTAGTTAAAAATTATAATTACTTAAAATTTAAAAGTATATAGTTTGATTAATAATATTTATAAAAAAATTATTAATATGAATATTACTATTTTATTATTTTCATTGATTATAAAAAAAGTACAAAAAATAAAAAAATACAATTTTCAATAAAAAAAGAACACAATTAATGATAGCTTATAAGCTAGAAAAAAAATAGAATTACTTTAAATTTAAAAGTACATGTTTTGCTTAATAATATTTATAAAAAAAATAATTAATATGAACATATTATTATCTTTATCGAATTTAAAAAGATATAACACAATTTTCAATAAAAAACACTAAATAAGATTCATTTAAAAAAGAGATATATTTTGTTCAAAAGAAATAAATCATACAATCTATATTGTTGCACTCCAAATCATCTTTGCAATATCATTGCGAATATTTTTCATCACATTCTTGGTTTCTCTTGAATTGTCGTAGCCAGGATGTGAAGTAGATTCATCTTGTAGTTCATCATTGGGTATGTACTCTGGATGCTTCTCAAGCACTCCAAACATCAAATCATCATTTGAATTGATCCGAATGAAGTTATGCAATGCAAATGCCGCCATTATCACATCAATCTGTGTCTCGACACTAAACTTAGGCATTTTACTTAGTATTTTCCATCTCTTTTTCAGTACTCCAAATGATCTTTCGATGCAACTTCGAAGAGATGAATGAGCCCGATTGAATGCTTCTTCTGCATTATTTGGCAACTCGTGTTGGAACTCAGATTGATGGTATCTTATCCTCGGATATGGCACTAAATATCCTTTTCGGTCTGGATATCCCTTATCAACTAAGTAATATCGACCTGTACAAAAATAATATAATTTAAATTTAGGAGACATTTAATAATTTATTAGGACATAATAATAAATATATATATAAAAATTACCTTCAGGAGGTTTCGGGAAGTTCATAGATGATGTCTCGATTGCATGAAGAAAGACACGTGTATCATGTGCTGATCCTTCCCACCCAACCGATATAAATGTAAAACACATGTCGAAGTCACATGAGGCCATGACATTGAATGTAGGGATTCCTTTTCTTCCTCTATAGCGAAATTGCCCTTTCTCTGGAATGCATGCTTCAATATGTGTACCATCAATGCAGCCTATGCAATCCTGCATGCATGAGAAATCGTTAGTGTCTATGACAAAAAGAAAAATTAAAATTAAATAATTACTACTCATAAAATTTGTAAAAGGTTTATTACCTTGAAGTATGGCATATATCTAGAATCATTAGATATATAAGGTGGTATGAATTGAAAAGTTGGATCCTTGGGTTTAATAACATCACGTGCAAGACCTTTATATTGTCTGCTTCTTCCACTTATTGATTCTAAAACGTCGTGAAATGCTCTGCTAATTGTTTCTCCTGAGCGTTGAAATCTCTCACTAGCATCCCTATTAGAAATTCCCAAGGCAATGATATATACAAATATGCCAACCTTCTCATGAACTGACATTCTATCACTTGCTTTTAAGCAATACTTATCTTTCAATTCTTCACATAGTTGCATAAATACACTTGAACTCATTCTAAATGCATTAACACATCGAATTGGATGTCCGGTTAGAACTTCTCTCATCCAAATCTCTCCTGTTTGACAAGAAGTCATGCATGGTTTTTTATAGATATGACTATAGTAATAGTACGCAACTACCGCACTTGTTTGAAGACTACCCAATTCCAATAGTAAAAGAATTTTCTTCCTTTGATCATCGTCCATTGTGTACCTATTAATCATAAAATAAAAAAATATTTTTATTAACATAAGAATTCCAAACAACAAGAGAATATTAAAAAATAAAATAAAAACTAATAATGTGAAATTTACATAATGGGCCCAAAAAACACATAAAGCCATAAAATGTCTAAATATTTATATTTGTAATAAAACTAGAAGCGCATATAAGATAAAGTCAATTCACCAACTATTTATACAATTTAAAAAATATTTTTGGCATGCATAAACTTCAACCAAGAAAGCCTAGCACCATCGTTGTCCATCTTTAGAAACATTTCTCGATTCACGGAATCTCGAAGTACACAAATCGAATGGCACCATAGTTCACCACCCTCATCCAGCCCACCGTTAGCTGCCAGACCTTTCATAATATCCATTACTGATTGTACGCTTGCTCCATTTGCATTGTCATTGCCTTTGGGCGTATCTTGTTTCAACAATCCCAGAACATTAGAATGAAATTCGCTTACTTTGTCTAAGTGATGTTTAATCATTACAGATCCAGCTGACAGTCTCCTTTTGCGCTTCAATTCTTTGACTCTAGTGGGTATTGGGGTGGGTTTACATGATTGAGTATCTTTTGAGACAATATTAGGAGCATTGGCATGACTTGGTGGATGAACATGATCATTACCAGGATCATTACCATTCACTGTAGCAACAAAATCAGTCCAAAAACTGTTCTGTTCTTGTTCCAAGTCTTCTAACCGAGAGTACTGAGAAAATACTGAATAAGTATCACTTCAATCCACTAAATTCACATTCCCCTCATTTTCTTCATCATCGTCTATGTTCACGGGCTCTTTATTGTGCAAAGGTTCATGAATGGCGGCAGGTGCTACACAATCTACCCCAGTAGCAACCGTGTCTCCAAATAGGTGATCCCACTGTTCTTCAAGAGAAGGAGGTATTGCCTTATTACGAAACTTCTTCGCTTCAGGCTTCTCCTGCACAATAGAAATAAGATTTTTAATGCTCAATATGTATTTAAAACTTTACCAATTGAACTAATTTAAAATAACTATTACCTTGAGTTTTTTCTCCCACCAGTCACTAGAGCAATCGAGTTTTCCAGTAGTAGGATCCCAACCTAGCCCAGTCTCTCCAGTTTTTAAATATTTCCAAAGGCGCCAATCTTTCTTCATGGAATCGAACTTGTTTTTAAAGCTTTTGTAGTTTGATTTTTGTTTGTCCGTAAGTCAAATTGTTCTTGGATCTTGTGCCGTTTAAATGATTGGCCACGACCATGTTTCGTAATAAATTCAATACACAAGTCACAAAAGATTCTTAAGTACTCATCCGTCCAAATAAAACTTGAAGTCTCAACTTTATCGATTTTCGATTCCATCTATTAAAATTAACAAAATTAAACATAAATAAAACTTCAATGAGGATCTACAGTTCGCTACTACATCGAACATAAGCAACAATGGAAAGAGAGCATAGCTAAAAGTGCAAAACACAAAAATAAGTTCAAGTTATAATAATAAAATTTCATCATGCTGTAATAAAAGTGCAAAACACAAAATATTTTGAACATATTATAGTAGTTGGTGCTCTTAACATTAAAATTAAGTTCAAGTTAGAAAATTGTAATATAATAATCACATGCTAGATACATTTCAGAGAATAACTATATTGAGAATTTTGCATATCAACATTACAAGCATTCAAATGTCTAAATGCCATGTTCTGTTTGCTAACCATTAATATTTGGATTCTCATTTGAATGGTTTTTAATATTCTTTAGCATAAGCCATTTGCCAGAATCAAGATAACAGTCATCTACTCAAATTAAGAGGCATCGGCATCAATCCAAGAAATCTCATGATGACTCTAAATAAGAAAAAATTACAAAAACTACTTACGAAATTTAGCCTAGTCACAATAATAAATTCTCATGATATAAAACATCAAAAAGCTTGCTTAAAAATAGTTATGAGGACTTAACAAACTTAAGAAAGAATCACTGAATCTATCGGTGGTGATAATGGCCAGAAAGCAAAGATTATGATAAACTTATTTACTTTCTAGCACAAAAACTTTATATCTGATAGTGATAAATTTCTTTGGACTGCTATTAAAAAATTAAAAATCATAACATACATACATATACCAAAACAACATGATAAAAACACTCCACACAGACAGAGAAGAATCATCAACATGAACAAAAAAATCCACCACAATGAAAACAATTCTATAAATTATCAATAGTCAGCATTGATATATTTCTGATATTCAAAGAATCCGAATAACACTTCACTATCTTCATCAAATTGATTATGAAATCCACAGACTTGGCACAACAAAAAGTTACAATACAAAAATTAAAGAGAAAAAAATTGTTGTAAAAATTACCTTTCTTATGTAGATGATGAATCTCGACAGAGGTTGGACGATGGAAATTCACTTGAAATCTTGTGCTCGACAAAGAGTTGGGCGATTGATTTCGCGCGATATTTTTGTGCGGGAGAGGGAGAGACGTCTGATAAAAAAAAGAGAAAACTAGGTTTAAATAAATAAAAGTCTAGTAAATTGTAATATTATGGAAAGAAAAATTATTAAAATATAATAAAAGTGAAAAGCTGAGCAGGAGCTTTTCTTAAACGCTAGTACCACAAGCTTATCAAATAAGCTCAGGCCTTTTAAATAAGCTCATCATACCAAACAAGGCTTGTGTAAATTAAAGGAGCTTATAAGCTAATTAAATAAGTTATAAGCTAGCTGTTTGGTTTACCAAACACAACCTAACACAATTGTTTGCTCACCCCCAAAAATCAAATTTTTCAAGTTAAGTAGCTGGCGGCGGTTACGAGGAGACGAGGGTGGTCGAAGTTTTATTTTGCAACTGTTTTGCTTCCGTAATAGTTTTCAACTTTGTGAATTTGAGAACCTATGGTTGTGTGATGAGATTTTCAACTGTGTGTTACTTAGTGAAAGAAAGTTTGTTTTGACTCAAGTTGTTAGTGAGAAAGAGGTTTCAAGTAACATCCAAGAGAGTTTTAATTTGGAAATATTTTTGAAAAAAATTAACTCAATTTTTCTGGAAAACGAGCAATTTCTATTGAAAAATAAGTGGGTGTTACAACATGGTATCAAAGCTCGTTTATGGTTCCGTAAAGCAAAAATTTTAAATAGTAAAAAGAATTTTGAAAAAATTTCGAAAAATTTTGAGTTTGACCACTCAGCTCCGTCGTGTTGCGCCAACTCTAGGGTAAGTACTGTGTGATAAATCAATGTACTGTGTGAATACATGTACGACTTTGTGTAGTTACATGTAAAAGACTGTGTGACATCATGTACGACTTTGTGTAGTTACATGTAAGAAATCTGTGTGATAGCATGTATGACTTTGTGCGATGGCATGTAAGAATCTATGAGATACTGTGGGAATATGTTAAATTCTATGTGAATAAGTATGACTTTGTGAGGAAGCATGTGAAAGACTATGTGCGAATACTTGTGGTAGCCTGTGTGACTACATGTGAGATTCATTGTGACTTCATTTGTGATCTTGTATTATAACTCAGTTTATTTCCAAGATAGTATGAGTTGCTGTAAATATAAGTTTGACTGTGTGAAGTACTTTGTGACACTTTGTGATTTCTAGTATGACTCTAGAATGGGGCCTATAAATTTACCCTCGAATTCAAATGACTTGAACTTTAGTTAAGCTGGGAGTTTTTGGAACTTTAGTTGAAGTTTCGAGTTTCAAATTCAAATCAAGTTGGGTTAAGTTTTGACTCTATAGGTCACCTCGGTTTATATTGGCATAGTGCCTTCGAGTAAGTGTATATAGTAACAGTTTTCTAATGTATAAGAACCACAAGCCCGTGTAGACCGTGGAGGCTTGAAACTGGACCGTGACCAAAATGTTTGAGGTGACTTCTGTTGTTCGGAAGAAGAAAAGTCAAGAAGATAGCATTTTAAAAAACGAAGCAGAGTTCATATCATGAGAAGAGCTTAAGAAAGAGAAATCGCCAAGGATTCTTGATGAATGCTGTCTGGATGCTTTAAGAAGAAGTAGACAACCGAAGAATTTCAAAGTGAACGAGAATATCCAAATGTCTAGAGCAGTTGTAACCCCCCACTTGGGAGGAGCCTCAGCCTCTGCCACTCGATCTCGAGTTGTTTTCCCTCGATCATCTCTCCTTTGTCCCTACACCTTTTGGTACTTAAACACGAACCTGCCCTAATCAACCTCTAGATCTCATCCTTAGAGTGTCTGCAGTTATCACTGGTGAGGCCATACTCACGGTGGAACCTACAGTATATGTTAACTTTGGTTGCGTTGGACCTTCTTTCTCGACGTAGGCCACGTTACTATGTCCTCGTCTAGCCTCATCTCCATTGTCTCCAACACCTCGGTTAGATTTGACCTTAGTGGGGTGTTCTTCTGATATATGCGACCATCTCGCATTGGTCGACTCTTCATCTTCCATTTCGTTTTCCATCCGACCTCTTATTTTTGGGTGAATTTTCTCTCTTTCTCTCTCTCTCTCTCTCTCTCTATTTCCACCTCAGGCCGAGCTTCTTTCTCAATCTTAGAAAAATTATCTTTAGCCTTCTCCATATTGATGTACTTAGCACACCTCTAAAAGACATCGTCATATGTAAGTGATGGCGTGAGCTCCGGCAGGAACATGGTCGTAAACCCTCGCCAGCCTTCAGCGTTGACCTCTTCAGAAGCTGAAGGTACCTCCACATGGGCCCGAGTGTAGCGAGATATATAGCTCATTAGGGTCTCACGTTCCTGCAACTACATCGTCATTAGGGTAAGGTAGGTCTTCTCTGATGACCTGGTGCTAGAGAATTGCTTCAGAAAGGTAGTTGCAAAGTCTTCAAAATACCTGACTGACCCTGAAGCGAGTTGATGAAACCAGTCCTTAGCTCCACTCGTCAAGGACGCCAGAAAGGATCGAATTCTCACTACATCAGTGTAACCATGCAAAACCGACATATTCTCAAAGCTCTTCAAGTGACGAGATGGGTCAAATGACCTGTCATATGTAATACTGAGTTTTCCTGAACCTAAAGGGTAAATTAGCATCTAGAATCTCGAGGGAAAAAAGGGTGCCCTCGAACTCTCCCAGCTCGCTTCCCTTCCACTATGGCTTGCATTTCTCGGATGTGAACTGTCATCTTTTCCACTACTAGATCGTGTTAGGATTCCATGGCCGAGCTGCTAGAAATACCGACATCCTCCCTCTTTGTCGTCCTAGTCAGGTTTAATGCACTCGACAGTTGTGGCTGGTCACACCTGACCGCAACAACTTTTGCAATCATTTTGTTGTGCTCTTTGTGTGTCACTGTTTGTAACTTATCGGCATACCTTCTTCCGTCGGTGGCCTTATCCCGCCGACCTAAATTAGGTATGGCTGCACATGGAGTGCAAGAATGGCCTCCATGCCCGATATACCCCCTGGTTGGACAATCGAACCTCCTACCACTGCTAGAGACGTGGATGAGTCCTCAAACTCGAGGGGTTAGGAATCGAGGTGATTGCGTCGGGGTAGACCTCGAGAAGCACAGTCGTGGCCCTTCTTCTAATGGTCGAATGGAGACCCACGCCTCGTCAAAGCCGGGCTCCAGGTTCCTTCTGGGATCTTCATTCAACATGGCAAGTGGTGATTTATGGCTTTTTGAACAAAATATCCCACAGACGGTGCCAAATGATAGTGCAAACGACCTCGAACCCGTTGAACGTCCACTTCTATCACTCACGAGACGATGAATGACTTGTAAAACAGCACCTAGTTTGTCTTAGCATAGAATCTCCGACGCTCAAGTCAATATTTGATGAAAAAGATGATGTATAAGTGTATGTAATTATAAGCATAGAATCTCTCTGTTTATGAAAATTTTTGGGTTTGTTTGGATTTTTTGGTTTGGTTTGGTTAATTTTGAAAATGTGGTATGGTTAGTTGTTAGTGGGTATATTAAAATAATATTAAAATAAAATAATTAAAATTGGTTTGATGTAAAAGTAGGAGAGAGAAGATGTAATGTGATGGTTAGTTAAAATAATGTGAGTGGATGAATAGTGAATTAAGATTGATGTGGTGTGTATGAATGATTGATTGATATTATTTAATTATATTGATAATATTGATGATAGTGGTGGTTGAATTAAAATTTTGAGTAAAAAAAAAATGTTGAGTTAAAATGTTGGAATATTTTTTGAAAAATCTTATAAACAAACATGAGTTTGTAGAAATTTGATTATTATACCTCACCCCATTATATAGAGGTGTTAACTTGTTACCTAAGGCTACCAGTCTGGGCTGCCTTAGTGTCTTATATACCCGATTGTACTACCAAAGTGCCCATATTGCCCAATTCTGTTAGCCACGTGGTCTTATCCACATGTTTTTCTAATCTTAATTATATTCTTACTTATCCACTATTGTGGTGTGTTCACATTAGTCTACTTCATTAGACTGCTTCCTTAAGCATACTTGTATAAACTCGATTCTCCTTGAACATGATCATTCAGGTCTCCAATAGGTAAAGTATGTTTTTTAGGTCTTACCTTGACATCTTTACTTTCAGGTTAAGTTTCTGTTAAATTAGTTGAGAGTCCTAACTTGACCAGTTGCTGAATTGCTCTACCCCAGGGTCATCGTTGACTTGGTGCTCTAACGACCTTAGACCTCATTGCTTTTAAACTGTGATGCCGACGAGATTGCATTAGCATATCTTGACAAATATGATCGACTTATGCCTTTAGTTTGATCGTTATTATATGTGTTTATATTATTTATGTGTGTATTTATTTATGATGTGTATTGGGCTTGTTTTTGTTTGGGCTTTAGGTCGTTAGGACTTAGTTGTATTAAAACAGATGGTGGTGTTTTTTTTCTGGCAGTTATTGTATTATCAGATTGAATCAGAAAAATAGAAACTGTGTTTTGTGTTCTTCAGTTCTTTTAGTATCATCTTCCCATCACTTGCTATCTCGCTGCATCATTTGGTATCAGTTAACCGGGACGATTCACGATGCGCCACGACTCCGAGATGTCGAAATTGACGATCGATTTCAACGTATGGATGATCGGATGCAATTGGTGGATACTCGGGTTGTGGATCTATCTACCGGAATTGATGAAATTCGTCTTACGCTGACTACTTTGATGAGGGACCAGCAAGCACATAGGGAGGTCGCCGGCGGGAGAGGTGGTCGTGCGGGACAGCGAGGCGGCCGTGGCGGTCGCGGTGATGCGCTCCGACAACCACCTTTACAACCGGACTTCGTTGACGTGGACAGTGAGGACACTTTGTCTGACGTCCATCCTTTTGCCGAGGATTTTGCACAGGAGGACGTACCCGGTCGCCGTCAACCTCGCCGGCGGGCTGAGGGTTTCCGTTTGGCAAGATCGCCTCCTCCACGAGCCGAGGCTGTTTTTCCGCACCCGCCGTTCCCGAATCCAACACCAGAGGCGGCGCACCGTCCGACTGGAGATAGGGATGTCCGTCGTCGCCATGATTTCCGGCGTGCTGAGGTGGCCGATGAGTTCCATCATCGATGGCGGGCTACAGGGCGGCGTGAGCTTGCGGACTCCAACGGAGATTTTGACGGAGAGAATTTTCATCAAGGCCGTCGCTTTGAAGAATCGCGTCGTCCACTGAATGCAAATCGGCGATTTGGGGAATTTTATCCTGCAGAATATGGGCCTAATATTTTTTGGGCTGATGATTTTGATAATTATGGACAGCAGCGGGCCCAAAGGCACCATACTGTGCCTGATTTTCATGTACCAGAGGCTGATTTTGTTGGGGCCCCCATCAGACTGTTTGTCGAGCATCTCAAACCGCTCGAATTATTATTAGGTCACACACAGATAAAATATGTTTTTTATGGTCATATTATACCCCTTGTATATAATACTTTTAAAAAAAAAATATATTTAATTAAAAAACAATTATGATATTATGATATTTTGAGTGGGTGCAAAACTGCCCACCTCCAATCTAATTAATTAATACCAACACACACACGAACTTTCTCCAAATCAAACGCCTCCTCTCTCTATCCCCGCACAGTCGGACGTGGCCAGGTGCCGTGCCACGGGCCCTCAAACACCCGGACTGCGACCGGCCCGCTAGAAACGAAGGGCCGGTTCACCGGCTCGGCAGTTCACGGGCCGGTATG